CAGCTGTGTCCTCAGAGTCACAGCTGGTCCTCAGAGTCCCAGCTGGTCCTCAGRGTCCATGTTTCTCCTCCTCTCAGCCAGCGGGAGCGGGCGGTCCGGCAGGTTCTGACCCAGCACTGCTCGCTGCAGGAGACAGATCAGTCGGTCCTCAGGGAGCGGTTCTTGACGGACCAGCTGCTGGTCCCAGAGCGGTGGATCCAYGAGGCCAAGGCCACCCGGGCCCAGAGGGACGGGGACCGGCACCAGCAGGCCCTGCACCTGTACCGGGCCGGACACTGGAACCGCTGCCACCGGCTGCTGATCCAACACCTGGCCTCAGGTACGCAGGTTCATCTGGACCTGATCCCAGTCTGCCTCAGAACCTCTGATGGGTCAGAACCTCTGATGGGTCAGAACCTCTCTGATGGGGTCTTCCTCCTGCAGATTGCATCATCAATGACAACCACGACTACCTGCTGGACTTCCTGGAGGGTCTGGGGGTCCCTGAACGCAGCGCCACCATCCAGGACTGGGACACGGCAGGGAGGGTCTACCTGGACTACATCCGGGTCATCAAGTCCCTGCAGCTCATCCAGCAGGTACTTTTAGAACCCTGTTCTGACCCAACCTGGACTCTGGTTCTGGTCCTGACTCTGGTTCTGGTTCTGTCCCCAGGCTGAGGCAGGGGGGTACCAGCTGGAGCAGCTGTACAGTCAGGTCACGTCTCTGTGCAGCAGGATCGAGCTGCTGCCCTGTGGCTCGGCCCGGGACCGCCTGGCCCAATCAGGTGAGAGCACCTGCTCAGCCTGAGCAGGGTTTGATTGACAGCTGTGGTCACATGACTCGTCAGGGGCGGGGCTTAAACATCAGCTGTTTGTTTTCCTCCACATGGAGCCCTCCTGCCTCTGTAAGCCCCGCCCCCTGCCAGGGTTATAATAACTTAGGACTTTTGATTTAGTTCAACTTTTTTCCTTTAAATTCAGTTTAAATTAGTTTTTATTAGTTATTACATGTTTATGTTTAGTTTTTATTAGTTATTACATGTTTATGTTTAGTTTTTATTAGTTATTACATGTTTATGTTTAGTTTTTATTAGTTATTACATGTTTATGTTTAGTTTTTATTTATGTTAGTTCTGTTTCA